TATGGATGATACCATTGAATTGAAGTTTATAAAACTCAAAGTAAAAACGATTATTAACCATGAAAGTTAATCATTATCAACAAAAGAAAAACAATTGATTCGGTCCGTTTTTGTGCTCAAGAAAGTGTTTCATATTGCAAAACGTAAAAGATACATCATTCAATATTCCACGTCGGAACCATTCTCATTTCTACGGTAATATTCCGCTCTGTCCTCGATCCAATAACTCAGCCATTCGTCGATTTCTTCAAAAATCCCAAACCGCTGACGCTCCAAATTGTTTTGCATTCGACGAAAAAGCCAGTAGTGAAAGGTAGCAAGGTCTAGAGTATTCCAGGTAGTTTTGACCGTTATATCCATGTGTGGCCTACCGTTGTTTCATTGTAAAATCACCTCGCCATGCCTTTCGATGGTTTCTGTACGTTTTGCACCTTGTTTCAGCAGCTCATAGTGGTCTCACCAAATGCACAATGTAACCTTTAAAACAAGGGGCGTCAGCGTAGACTATGATTGTACGGATTCACCAGTCTTGGTTTAATGTTTTTTTTCTTAGGGTTTTCGTAGTATATTCACATATTCAACTTCAATCCCGATCTGGTGCTAAAACTCTTCCTTTGATGTATTTCAAGAAGTAGTTTCGCCTTCCGAAATCTCTCGGCAACGATTCATACAGCACCCAATTGCTTCCAATTTTGTTGGCCAGGGCGCTCTTTGACCTCAACCCTAAAATCTCTTAAAGCGTCGAAAGCACTCTTCTCTTGATTTATCGGTCATAAATAAAATATGTAAGTTCCAAGAAGAGGCAAAAAACAATGTTGTTGTCAGAGGCTGATGCATACTTATTATTGTTAGTAGTGTTAGTAGTTAGATGTGAAACCTTTACAAAAAAAAGATAATCGCTTCCAAGATCGGATACAACTTGCAAGTGAAGCCATCTTTTGAGAACGTGCCGAATCAATTTGTTACCGAATATAATATTTTGCTAGAAAAATTTCACTTTTTTCGGGCAATCCGATCGCAAAATACTTTACGTTTGATGGGGCGTATGAGTAACTTAATTTTCCCCAATATAAATGTTGCCTATTTTCTGCTTAATAGGCATATACTTTGATACGATTTTTGCGGTGTTTTTTAATACTTTAACTGCAATATAAGTAATTTAATAAATTTAATAATGCTGAATACAGCAACCTTGAATTAATTTAACTCAAGTATGACCTAATTACACGGTATTCAACAGGCATAGTTTAATCAGTAGTTTAAATAATTTTAAATTTTTTCCAATTTAAAAGCAACAAGGGTATAATTTAGAATTTACGTACACTTGTATGTACATACGAATTGTTAAGTAGAAGTTGAAACAGCTTTCATAAAAATATGAAGTTTTAAACTATCGCCATGCATGTCTAACTTGGTTTGTTAAAGGGCTTTTAGAAAATGAAAAAAAAAAAAATAATTTATGAAGAAATCTATGATATATACATATACTCGTATGTAGTTAGGAGTGATTGAGAAATGCTAACGTATACATATTTTTAAAAAGATCTTTCTTAATAATTTGCTAAGTGATTTCCATAACAGTATTTCAGTTAGATACTTTTTTTTTAATTTTTATATTTAATTATTGTACTTAGATAAAAATATATTTTAAATATGCTAATATTTAAACTTTATTATTACTCACATATATACATATGTATATACAAATCTAAAATATTAGCCATTTTTTATATAAAAAGTGCTTAAAAAATGTTTTGTATTTATAACAAATATGACATAAATTTAATATTATTTATTTAATGTATATTTTTAAATTTATTTAATGGATTTGGTTAAACAGAAAACTTAATAATTATGCAATTTATTCATTGTTTAATTTTACACCCAAATGCTCTTATTTTTAAAATAAAAATTAGAATACATAAAAGCACTGCTGCTAATGTTATATACAAAAAAAATATTTTTAAAACTCCTAATCAATTTTAAAATTATTTGTCAACAGCTTAATATATCTTTAAAAATTTAACTAAAATCTGAAAAAAATGTAAGTCAACTTAAGTAATATGAATATGAGAAATAAAATTAATAATAATAATTTAAGTCGTACATATAGTTTAACGATAAAATTAATAATAGTCCTTAACACTACTAACAAAATAGTAAATTACCCTAACATGGAGGCGATTGCGTGGCGTGAAATTGAACAGAACATTAAAAAAATCATTGGGAAAATTAATTACTTTTTCAAAATTTTCACTCGAGGGAAAACATTGTTGAAATTCGTCAATTGAAAAAAAAATAAGAATAAAAATTTTCTAAAATTTCAAATTTCCATTAAAGAATTTCATTTGTGACTAACCGTCCTTAAAATTACATAAATCTTTTGCAGCATACACTTCCAATATCAACGTGTCTAAAACACTAGGACAATGGACATTGAGGAAACTATTTATGTATTAGTAAATATTAATTTATTACAACCATTAACACGTAAAGCTTATTAATATTAATAGCGATTTTTTTTTTTGTAAAAAACGTAAACATAAAAATATATCCTTAAAACAAGTACTACGTACATATCTACATGTACAAGAATTCTGTGCAGAACACAAACAAAAAATAAGCCACAGCACGGATTTTTTTGACTGAATAAGTCAGTTGGGTATATGAAATAGTCCACTGATTTAGATGATTTTCGGTGACAATACTTATTTTTGGATACGAATATATAATACCCAATTGCATACGTTCAATGCTTTTTTGACGGTGTTTTGGAAAAAGCAGCAGATATGAGGCATCAATGTGCAGAACACCAAATTTTATGCTCTTAGACACTTTCTGGTACCTACGCACTTGGGACCAAAATTAATATGTCATTTCATGTTCATGAAAAGAATAAAAACTATAAAACAATACAGCAAAAATAAAAACTTTTATAAAAAATATTGGCAACGGAGGTGTCAGAATAACTGTTAACAGCTTCTTAATGTACACAAACACTTAATAAACAACACCCGTAAATTGGCGTCTCTCGTAGCTGGAAAGCGCTTAATTCCCACTATATTTATTTATTAGAAAATGAAAGTAATTTGTGTTAAAGTTATAAAAAAAATTTAGTAATAAATTTTTATTTAAGCTTTAGTTTGGTGGCATAGTTGTGTGTTTATGGTAATGCTTCTCAATTATCTACTTACAAACGTGTGTCAATATACAAAATAAATCAATTTTTTATTTTATGTAAAATTAAAAGTATACCGCTAGTTCCTATTAATGAAACTCTCTTTACTTTAAAATATAAGGGGTACAACGGAGATTATCTCAGCATTTAAAATTTTAAGTTTTTTTTATATCAAAATCATTTAATATTAAGTTTGTTTATTGAGGCTGAAAATAGAGTAGAGCGCAGCTCATGTTCGAGCAAATTCGGAGCAAAAAGCGCATGAAACATTTTTCGGGCAAAAATTTTCAAATGGGAACGTTTGACTTGTCTGTTGTAAGCAAAATAGAAAAATTTTACGATTTTTTCAAATGTATATTTCTTAGTAAAATTTATAATTTTTATCGTCACATGTATTTAAGTCGTTTGCTGTGCACCGTGAACATGCCTTTCATATATTTTGCCCACTTTCGCTTTCTAAACTCGTCTGTCAAAAATAATCTTATTGTTCGCTCCAAGTTACTCTACCAATAAAGTCAGAGCAGAAAATTGTGATCAGAGTTGTTCTATTTCTGCTTAGTGCAGACTCATGAAACAAAAGGAGGGCAAATAAGAGCAAAAAGTTTTCAGGAAACACAATTTTTTGAAATGGAGTAACCTGACGTAGCCTAGAGCAGCTCAATAAACAAACCTATTACTTTTATTAATTTAGAAAGAAATATTCTTAAAAGTCGTAAAAAATCTGAAAATTCAAATTAGTTTAAAAAATATATGATTTGATTGGGCTGAAAATCAACTACTACCGAATGTTAATTTTATTTATATTAAATCTTAAAATATATTTATTTATTTATAAAACTCTCTAATGTACTTACATACATGTTTATTATTCAACCTTTGTATATGTGTTTTACAAACAAGTTAGTTAAACGTTAAGCAAGTTATATAGGAAAATAGATTAAAAAATATTATAAATTGTAAATATTATACAAATTTATGTGCAAATTATATATTCTGAACATTTTATGTATCGTCTTTTTATGTAAGTACTTTTGTCTTTTATATTTTTAAAATGTTATTTATTTAAGTTATTTTTCAGCTTTGTCTTTGCACAATTGTGCGCTTTTCATGTCTATGTCATATCAAATGTTTATATACACGTATGTAAATAAAAGCTGTGTAAATATCATATTATCGCTTTTACTTTAAAAATGCTTCTTATAAATTATCTATATCTATCAATATTGCACTAAATTTATGCAGCACAAAATACTAAGTAATATTTGTACAAAATTATTTATATTTTTATAATATCACTCTTTCTTGATTTTTTTTTATAATAAGTCTGTTTAAAGCATTAAGTAAATAAATAAAAAATAAAAAATTTATGAAAAATGTATGAATATATTGTAGAAAAAAATTACATCATCGTCATCTGCATAAACCTTGGTAGCCTGTCTTTGCTTTCAGCACTCTCGCTATTCTTATTTTGTTCCAACTGAAGCTTATAATTATTGCCTTGGCTTTTTACAACACTACTTAATTATAATACTTCTTTTTGCCCGCATGTGTTTTTTATATTTAAGCATAATAAAACTCTTTCATGACTATAAATACGATATTTTTATAAAATAACATAAATACATCTTGACTTTTTTTCCAATCTTAAACATTTTTAATTGCTTATCCAATAAAATCACGCCAACGTGCAATTGTTTTTTTTTTTGTATGTGTCAACCTCAAAAAAAATTCTATAATATAAATTTTCTTTCATTGCACCCTTCATTCGCCCGTCTGCCAATCTCAATCACATTTGAATACACCACCCTAAACAAAAACACAGAGACACTATCCCCGAGGAGACTTACCAACATGGCCATTCGAAGTCCTTGTGCGAACCCACCGGCGACGATTGGGAAAGTGCCGCATTGGCCACACGCGAACGTACCATAAGCGGCAGCAGCAACAGCACCGGCCGCGAACCACTGCTACCGAAACTAACACCACGCGCGCAAATTCGACGTATGGGCAGCAGCGGTGGTGGTGGCATGGGTCATAGCAGTGGTATCGGCATCAATAGCAGCAGTCTAGGCGGCTTACGTAATCAAGTCACCACCGCATTACTCTCCACATCGAATTCCGAATATGATGATGATGAGGATGAGGATATTGATTTGTACGATGATGAGAGTATTGTTGTAACAACATTAACTGGCGGCGGCGGCGGCGGCGGCGGCGGCAGCAGTGCTGGTGCACGAAATCGCAGCGGCAGCAGCGGTAGTGGTGGCGCTGCAAATGGCAGTAGTAGTGGCGCCAGTAGTAGCAGTAACAGTAATAATACCACAACCACAATACGTCTGACACGCAACAACGATGAGAGTATCATTTGAGATCGTCGACGTATGCAGTTATAGCGACGTCTCTTTGCTAACAATGGCGGTCGTAGTAGTAGTCAACAGCAGGGTCGACTGAGTCGTTGGGCATATAAGTATGAAATGTTGCAGTGAATTCATTGAAACTGGCAGACGGCTGGGAGGCTAACATTTGTGGTGGTGCTTGCCCAAATGAACTAATACATAGAATGTTGCCAACAATGCCTGCTAAGGGTAAAGTAAAACTTTTTAACTCTAGGCGTTAAGTGTAAAGTGTAAAAAATAAGATTTCGAAGGGAAAAGGGTTAGAAAAATCAATAGGTAGGTTAGAGAAAGTATGTTACACCATCAAGCCAGGACAACGATTATTGTAAGATATGATGGTGTTTCTTTTAAATATGTATATGTATGTTTATTATATTGATTTTATTTTGTTCTTTAGTTTGCTTACTAAAATTTTTTTAATTTTTAAAAATAGTTTCTTAAGTAACTCCATCATTTATAGTAACTAAGTTTTTTTCCAAACTAACAAAGTAATTTCAAAATGAAATTATTTTAAGTAAGCAGTCAATATTAGCTGCATTTAATCCTCTTTTTAGCTTTGCAAAATAATTAGTTCAATTCAAACTTTTAAAGCTTTGGCGGTTTTATCAAATAAATCACCAATAATCCTGATAACAGGTTAGGTTACTCTAGCCGGTTGAGGCGCCTTATATCTATTGGGATTTTGTAAGCAAAATCTAGGAGCAGAGACATAGTTTCGAGAAGAAGATGTGGGTTGGATTTGAAACGGATAGCGATAATGTCAGTACGAATTATTTGTAAAGATCAGCATAGTTGCCGCAAAAGCCGAGTGCTTAGTTAGTTTTGGTACGACGAGCATAAATAGTTAAAAAAAAATAATAATTTTCGTAATGAATTAATGACACTTATTGGCCGCAGCTACATAGCTCTTGATAATTTACATTTTGATATTTTATTAATTTTTATAATTGTGTTTTTTTTTTTTAATCATGTTCTGAGCGAAAAAAGAAAATAAATAAACAAATAAATAATAGAAACTTAAAAATAAAAAAATGCTTAAAATCACAATGCAGCAAAGTAAATATTTCAGGGCAGTCACAAATTGAAAAAAAAAAATAAATTAAACACAAAAATTTGATTGAAAATTGGTATGCCAAAAAATCGAAAACTTAATCAGTTGTAGGCTTAAAAATGCATAGCTTGGGATAAAACAAATTAAAATAGAAAACATTAGTAAATGAAAGAAAAACTGCAAGTAAAACGAAAACCAACCACTCATACAACAACACTCTACGACATCAACCGAAACTTGACATCTGAGGGCTGTGCTTCAAATAAAATTTAAAAAGGAAACATAAATAAAAATGTTGCTAATCACTTGCAAGCATAATGGATGGAAGAACAAAAAAGAAAACTTAAAAAATTCAAAAGAATTTTAATTTGTTGTTTTATATAATATAAACTTATTTTTTTTTTTATAAATAATAATAGTTAAAAACATAAATTCATTTATTATATGAGTATTTTTTTTTCTTTTTTTTTTGTTTGATAGGCAAAGTATAGAACTATGGCATTTGTTTGTCGTATTTATAAAAGTTGGTGACAATTTTTAGAAAAACAAAAACTACAAAAAACTAAAAAAAACGTGTACAGTCAATTTTTTTAATTGAAAATGTGTATGTATGTATAATATATGTAATGCGTATTGTATATAACTGGCATTCAGCATGTGACTGTATTAATGGAAAATTGTAAAAATTAATAATAACCAAAAAGATACACACATATTGTTTAGGCCAACATCAAAGGAATACGCTGTAGACACGAGAAATGAGTATCCTAACGATGAACTTGTAAATGTTTGTAAAAAGAAAATGATAATTTTAGTTTAGTATGTAATCAAAAGTGTAATGAAATGTGTGACGACATGACGTTTAAACCGAAAAACAAGGCGTGAATGATTGGTTTTTAAGTTAATTTTTATAACAATTTAGCAGTTGAGCATTATATTAGACGATATTAAATTACCACACAAAATGATTGAAAAAAAATTCTAATGCATAGTTAAAAAAGACCTAAAATTGGCAACCTGAAAACTTAATAATTTAAAAAAAAAAAAAATAAAATAAAAATTTGGCAAATATTAAAAAAAAAACAGAAAATATTTAACAAAAAAAAAACAATTTTTCTTCGATTTTCTCAAGTATTTTAAAGTATTTCAAAAAGTGTTTAAACATTTATATACTCGTATGTATGTCCATTAATGCATATAAAATTATTATGAGTCTTACCAATGCTGTAATAAGCTACTTAATTTTTAAAAACAATTGTACTTAAATTTATTAGCTTAATTTGTAAATGCGTTCTTCCGAAAAAAAATATTTGTTGCAAATGAAAAAATAAATTTCTCTTTCATAATTTTTATTTATGCGTAAAGCAATACTTCCAATATTTTTAAAATAGTTTTAAACTTATTCAACAATTTGTTTTTTTTTTTTAATTTAATTTTTGCTTTTAAGTAATTCAGCATTTTAAAAACATTTTTTTAACTTCCACCCAAATCTATTTTACTTTCAAATTTTTAGAGACAATAACAGTATAAACGAAAAAAGTATTTGAAAAATTAAATTATAGACACATATGTATGTATAAAAAAATTAAACTAAAATAATAATTTATTTGATAATAAGCGTTGTCAAAAGTTAAAATTAATTAATATGTATTATAAGCAGCGAGCATTTTAAAGCAAAGTTGTATGCAAATTCCCAGAGTTAAATCATTTGAAATTACCAAATTAGGCTTTTAATTAGTACTTACAAAAAAAAAAAAAATAAAAAATAAAAACGTAATAAAAACGAGCAAATTTTAATTAGCGTTAAAATAAAAAAAATTAATAATAAAAAAAATTTAAAAAAAAATATAAATTAGTATGGAAAAGCAAAATTGGCTCTGTAGAACATCGTTACCAATACACGCATACTTTTTTGTCTCACTTGTACATACGAAACTATAATATATAACGGTACATACTCGTACCTATGCAATTGATAGATTGAGCAGCAAAAGAAAAGAAAAAAAAAATTATTCAAAAATTTCAAAAACCAAATTGGCACAATTTTCAACTCAACGCCTTATGTTATATCCATATTAATCCATATACATGTTTACATGCGTACATAGTAATTATGTAAGTACAATATACTATATTAGTGGTAGTTAATTGAAAATAATTGCACATACATACATACGTACATACAGGCATTCATATTACGGATTAACGGATTTATATGTACATACTCGTATAAAAGTTTGTGAAAACGGCATGGTAATAAATTATGTATGTATGTAACATTCATGGAAATCTAATCATTATAAATTCATAAAAAAAAAACTTTCATTGAAATCAATAAAAAGCTTTACAACAAATACTGAAAACCAAAAAAAAAAAATATTGATCTTTTACTATAAGTAATTGCCAAGGGTAAGTGTCAACATTTGGAATAGGTTAGGTCATGATGGCTAGCGACCATCGCATCGATTACACTTTGGTCTGACTAAGACCCATTGTGATACCACAAATACTTGACCGTTAGGCTTCGTTATTCGAACGATTCGATTTGCTCACGAACCTCATTAGATCCACGGCTTTAATGACCATCAAGCTCCGAAATTCCGTAACCTAGCTATACCCAAAGAAGGAGAGTCACATAAAAGATGGGTGATCGTTTACTTCTATTCCTCATCCTCGTAGCTTCAGTACTCCTATTACGTTGAACGTATGACCTTTTTTTAAGGAGTACATATCGCGTAATTTCTTCTTATACCATTTTGATCAGATGCGTGTGGATTTGCAGCAAGTTATAGCTTTATTTTACCTTAACGCGGCTAGTTCCTATGCAAATTCCTTGACAAGTGACTTACAAGTTGCCAGAGGCATACCAATACTTACTTTATCAAGAAGAATCTACTTGGCCGTACCATGTCAAATCAGTTCATCCGCCTTACAGTTTCCCTCGTTGATCTGTTCGGGCATTTCCTGTGCAGTCGCTCTGCTTACATAACTCTATACTTGATAACATTTCAGGTCTGCCAGTATTATACTGCTTAATAGCAATTGGTTGGTAAAATACATGGTGTCGACGCCTAAGTTTAACAATGCAGTTGTATCTGAAACCATATGGTATTCATTACTTTAGAGATGTTTTCCAATTAAAGTAGCAAGTCCATGTAGCGCTATTTCTGTCGATTTTACTTTCTCATTAGCCATCTTTGGATAGCTCTAAGATGTTTTTTGACTGTACAGGGATAATACTATCCGGTCTAGGTGTTTTTTATAGGCTGAGGATTTCCATTGCATTGATTACCATTTCATCCGTTACAGGTAGATCGATACCCCTTAAATAATGAGCGTTACACATAAGAGTCAACGAGTCACCAAGGAGGTGAGTATCTTCACAAGTGCCAGTATTTTGTAGAATATTTTTATTATATATTTAAGCTGAATGGTTGTACCAAAAAGTACCAAAAAAACTTCTCGTGGGTCCCAAAAATTTCCGTATCATTGGTCGTTTTTAGTATTGCATTTACATTTCCGGTGAAATAGTGGCTGATGAATTTTTCAGGCGTAAAACAGAGTTTGATGTACACACGAAGGCAGTTCCAGATTAACAAAATAATCTGATGGTCAAGACATAATTAGTTTATAACAGAACATTTTATCAATAATCACCGATAAAATCCGTGACGTGGAATAGGCACGCGCAGATGAAGAAGTTGCCGCTATCAGGACCGCCCTCTGGTATCACGTTGCAGCACATTTAACACGAAACATCCATGCTTCAGATCAATGCATCTAATGTAATGCTATGCAGGCATAATACTGAGGGGAACTGCTAGACCCGATATGTTACGATATGCCCTAAACGGTATTCATAGAGAATTAGTCAACACACTCCTCAATTCTTTTCCCGCTAAAAGAAGCTGACTTGGGAAAACACTTAATAATATAATTTTTGAAAGGTTATTGAGGTTCACCGAATGATGAATTGTTTATGGCAAACTTGAGCTATGCTCAATCCAGTCAGTTAATAACTCTTTGTATGTCTTCTTAAGTTTGATTCATCTAACGCTTGGGACCTGTTGAAATAGTTCATTCTCTGGACCCCTCTTTCGAGCAAAACTCGACAACAATTTTAATATATTGAAGGTTTTTAAAGAAGAAGAACCGATCTGCAGAACTAACAAGGTGCATGCATCAGTTTCGTTGCAGAATATGATCCAATGATTGGAAAATGTCGAGCGTATTAAGTGAAACACTAAAGCCCACCGTCAACAAACTGATTGGGCTTTATCAGTGCGGCTTTAGAGAGTAAGTTAGTAAGTTAACCATTCGACGAATTTAAAGCAGCCTTCGATAGCACGAATAGGAGCTGACTCTACGCAGTTATGTCTAAATTTAGTATTTCCGTAAAACTTAAGCGGCTGTGGAAGCTGACGTTAAGCAACACCAAGCATCTGCAAGAACCTCACCAAACCGTTCGATACCAAACGAGGTTTCAGACAACTTCTTTAATCTATTTGTGAAGAAAATAGTACGAGTTGGAGAGCTGAATAGAGAAGCTACAATCTTCGATAACAGTGTACAACCACGAGGTGTGACAATTAAGTAATGAGACTGATTCCATAAAAACTGTATATTTCAAAATTATTTCACAACTCTGCATTCCTTCAAAGTAGAATGCTTGGACAGCTATACACCAATTCCAGCTCATTTTTCATACTTCGTAACATTTCTGGAACGCTTCGAATGTGATGTCCACGAGTACCTTCGTCACGGCCGCCAATGGGTTCCTTTGACCACAGATTTTGTTCTAGGGAGCAAAAAACGTCACCGGGTGACATATCGGCCGAATAAGG